TTTTTAAATTTGTGTCTTAACTTTTATTTTAAAAAAACATGTGCGTAATCCGAAGTTTTATATAACAAAAGTTAGTATAAGAGAAGTGGGACAAATTAAATTATCTGTACATTCACTCACTATTAAAAACTAATTCTGTCTAGACTATGGGTCGTCAATCAGGAGGGATAGCCCTAAGGGGAATTTCACAGTTTCAGAGAGTAATTTAGTCAAACTTTTCTTTACGTATTTAGATTTAGTTTATGAATATAAAAAGCACTTTTGTTTAAAATTTTGGTATTTAACAATACGTTTTATACTTGTTTAATTTACATTAAAAATAATCCATATTTAAACAAACGCATATGTACTTTTCAAGTTTTAGGAAGGAGAGGTTGAATGATCGTTTAGCAATGGTGAAAAGGGCACATGAGGGAAAAACTGTTGAGAATCACTGGTCTAGACTGAGCCAAGTTGAATTAAATATAGACTTTTATACTTTACAGATCTTTAGTTCTTACTGTAGAATCATTAGAATTTTTTTTTTTTTTTTATGCGGGAGATAGGAAAAATAAGCAATGCCCTCTTCGAGACTAGAGCCTGGATCTCTCGAATACGATCCGATTGTACTAGCCGTTACACCACGAAGGCATTCTGGAAGGAGGGAGAAAATACCTTATATACTCCCCCTTTTAGAGACGACTGGGTATTAGGGGACCTAGTCGTCAAATCTTGGTGGAGAAGAATCACCATCCACCACCTTTTTTTAGTTCAAGCGTCATGCTGGAGACTTGAAAAATGAGCAATGCGCTCGCCCGGACTCTAACTTGAACCTCTCAAATACGCACCGAGTGTGCTAACTGTTACACCAACCGTTGTCTTCGTGGAAAACTTTCTAAGAGAAACTGGCTCGCATACAAATTACACATGGGGAAAACTACGAAAACGCCCATGCAGCCAGCCCGTCCACGGGATTCAAAACTCGGACTGAACTACCAGTGTTCCGCGGCTTTACCGCTCGGCGGACTCTGTTGACTAGTGAGAAGTGACTAGCAATCTTACAGAAGGTCATTGACAATTTACATGCTCCCGTGAACGATTAGACCTTATAACTTGTTTGTTAGCTCCATTCTTGAAGCTAACATCCAAGCATAAAATTAAATAAAATTCTACGTTTTACTGGGGTTAGTTTCATAAAAAAATTTCTATTGATTCAAAAGAGAAAAAAATTTTGAGCATTTGTTGAGATAAGCAGTATGCATAATAACTTACATAAATTACATTCTAAACGTGAAAACACTTTTTTGATTGGTACAACGTATCTCATCTAAGACTTAATCATTTATTTTTGATTCGCAAAACTTTCTAGACATTGTTCCTTTGAAAATAAATGTGAGAAAAAGTTCAAATATCGGAAAAAATAAATAATTAGTTAAATGAATAAAAATTAATAAAAAATGGAATAAAAGCTGTACATTAAAGAAAGCGTCAGTCATCCAATTCTTAAGCTTTTCATGTAGGCACAAAGCTCACCAGCGGCCAAGCGGAAAAAACGATCCGGGGTTCAAATTCCGATGGAAAGGCGGACTGCAAGGGCACTTTCGTGGTTTCCCCCTTGCGTAACATGTATACGAGCGAGTATCCTTTAAAACGTCCTCCACGAAGGCATGTCTTCCCTTGGCTTAGTGCCATTTCGTCCGTCCTCTTTTCATGCCGAAATAGTCTCGTTTGTCCGCTGCCGTTCGCACTTATTCTGTTACTATAGTTGGAGGTGATTGTACTTAAATTTGTAGATATGTTGACTTCTAACAGTTGTTCCATCCTCCCCTCCAAATAAATAAATAAATGAAATGAAAATTAAAAACACTATTCCAAATTGCTGTAGTTGAAAGATTAAAAGGTTACATTTTGGAATTCATTTTCTGACAGGGTGTCAGCTGACAGTTTTAATTTATTAAGAAATCTAAAAGAAAATATATCTACAAAATCGCCAAATTATAACTATTACATTCAGGACAGCTTTCAGTGAGAAATATGTTTAAACTTTGATAAGCTCAGTCTAAAGTAAGGAATAAAATATCTCTTAGCCAAGTTTTCATTGTGCTTAACTGTTTTAATATTCTTAAACTAAAAAGGAACTAAAGGAAAAACGAAAAAGAAATAAAATAAAATTAAAGTTAAAATTAAGTGTTTTTAATAAAATAAAGTGTTTTTAATTAAAAGTTAATAGTTTTAATAATGAAACATAATTATATTTAATATTATTATTTATTAATAATGAAACATAATTATATTTAATCTCAGCCATATTACCTTAAATAGCATATGAGAAACTCCACAATGATATTTTTCATTTTCACATACACATACCAAAGTTAAATAAGTAAATAAATAATACAATGCAATTTCAGATTTATCATCGAAACGTTACAGCTAATCACTTAATCAGAAAGTGGAAAGTTTGCTTTCAACCTAATAAATTAAACAAATAAAGTAGTGATAAAATATACAAACAGATATATTTGAGACATTAAAATTCAGATCTGAATACTCCATTTATTAAAATTAAAATTATAAATACACGATTTAGTAATAAAAAAGCATAAGTCCCTTTTGATTATGTGCGCTTTTATGAGTGTGGGCTTTTATCAGCGTGGGCTTATATCTATGTGAGCTTTTATCAACGTGGGCTTTTATCAGTGTGGGCTTTCATCAATGTGCGCTTTCATTGCTGTGGGTATTTGTCGCGTGGGCAATTATCATAGTGGGCCTTTTTTTTGTGGGCTTTTGTCGTGTGCGCTTTCGTCCAGTGGGCTTTTGTCTGGGAACCAAAAAATAGGTCAGAGACGTTTCCTATACCTAATAAAGGAAAGAATGCTTGTGTTTACGTTAAGAGAAATCAAATTTTTGGCCCAACAGCTTTCGGTGAACTTCGGTGAAGAACTGCCGTTCCGTTTTCGCCGGAGAGTTCAGTTAAAGGAATCGGTTCTTTGAATCAGTTCCGGAGCGGATGTCCATCTCTACATCATCAAGTAGTCTATGCGCAGACGTAATTTCGCTCTTCGTCTACGAAAATTCGAACTCATCTTCACTCGAACAGATTCTTTCATCGAATTCCATGCTTAAATATACAAGATGATCATAAAATGACTTCCGCAATATACAACCTTAGCGGCTTCTCCGCTCAACCAATAGAAATGAAATTTCAGATATTGTTATTTGAAGGTATGAGCTCAACATGGTGCTGATTTAAAACAATTCAACTCTCCCAGACACGGTTATTGTAAAAAAAATTCGAAATTTTTGAATGAACATACTCTTTCTCTCGCGACAACTGATAAGCTCACTGAAAAATCATAAATGGAGTTGGAACGGTACACATTGCCAGCGTAAAACATTTGCAAAGAACTGCATTGTAAAGGTCCGATGATACCTCAGAAGAGAAAAAAAAAATTCCAGTTGCAACAGCGTTTCCAGTTCCAACAACGTTTCAAAATAGCGTTATCTCCCGCAACTTTGCAGTTTTCTGGCCACCTGGAACCCCGACCATACTCCAATGGATTTCTGTTTCTGTGCTTATCCGAAATCCTGTCTTGTATACATATCAAATCCACGAGATTTGTCAGAACTGAAAGATGCCATAAAAGAAGGCATACAGATTCCTCCTGTGATGAATATATTCAACAATCTCCTACATACAATCCGTTATCGCCTGCGAATTGAAGCACGTTGAAAACTTGTAATTCCAATAAAAGTGGGGTTTTTTCCCCCTTTCCTGTCTTGTGTTATCATAGGCCCGTTATAATGCTCTTCTTCAAATCTTTTACACCGTCAGTTTGCGTCATACGTTTATCGTTCTGACGCCATTTATGGTTCATCAATTCGCTGATCAATTTGCGCAGGAAAAAAGGTGAGTACTGCCCTTCGAAATTATTTTATTGTAAATGTGAAAACTCTATTGTTTTAAATCATCACAATCTGCATAGATCCTTGCAATCTCACTGCCTCTGGAAAATCTCAAGATAAAGATCGATTGTTTCTCTAAAGTAGTTCGATTCTAGTCGATTCCAAAGCAGCCATCTAGGCTGTAGTAATAAATCATGACACAGATACCCAGATTACCTCAGAAATAAAACAAACCTTGAACTTTCTTTATAAATACAGCAAAACAATCGTTTTTCAATGGTTCCCTTCACATGTAGGTATCGACGGTAACGAAGAGGCAGACTCACTAGCCAAGAGAGGAACACTTGCGACAGCAAACCACTTCCTCCGAAATCACTTAAAAAGCATATTTTTGAAAACTAATGGACATTCTTAAATCTGACGAGGCAGCAAAATCAACAGGCAAATTCTGGGCTAACATTCAAGACACATGGGAAAAGTTTTGTCAAAAACCCCGTAAAGAGGCTATGGCAAACTTCAGACTGGAAACAGGATCAGGATTGCATGGCACATCATCTTAATAAAATTGGCATCCTTTCACCTACTATATGCCAAATTTGCAATTCGGTCATCATCAATGCAGAGCATCTTTTTATATGCCCAGAAGTAGAAAACGAGTCTCCGAAAACGTGGTGAGAAAAGTAAACTATATTGGAATGCCAGAGCTTTCATGAAGTTCTTGTAAAGACTACATATCTTATACTCCTTTCCTTGTTGCTTAAATTTGTAACTTTTTACTTCCGTTCTCATGTTCATTTATTCTGATTCTTACTTTGTAAATGTTTGTCCTTATTTATTATTTATCATTGTTCTTGTGTGGTACTTGAGCTCTTTTATATGTTTGGATTGATCTTTTCAATATAGTCATATGTAACAACAAATCATCACAATCTCTAGTGCATACATTCAAATACCCATACTGTAATTTCATTTCGATTGGTTGAGCAGATATGCCGCTAGGGGTTCATATATCACGGAAATTGTTTTAGGACTATCCTGTAGATTGATTTGGTTGTAAATATAGAGTATTTCAGAAAAAAATTTCCAGAAAACTAAATTAACTGTTGGGGGCTTACCTCCAAGTCCGTTCCATATGAGAATTCCAACAAATCCGAACACTACTTCGGTAGAATTCCGAATAGCATTGATGACGGAGAGAGCTCCTCCTGTGATAGCGAACATAGCCGCTAGGGAGAGACTGGAAACCGTTAAAATCCAGATGCTGAAACTTGGAAGACTGTCGTTGAAATCATCATCCTGATCTGTGAAATAAAAAGCAAATAGTACATATCATTTTTCAATAGTGTGAACTGTATAATTTTAACGGATTACTTGTTATCTCACTAAAAGATATGCATTGTGACTCAGAAATGCTTCAGTCATAGGGGAAGATATTAAAATTAGTATCTGAATTTTTCATAGTCATATGTAAATATATACTTAAGCAGGAATACAATTCCAAGAACTGGGCATTACTTATTTCATATTTCAAGGAAACGCAATATATTTGAAAGGGCAGATGGCAGATACGGTATATAAGTAGAGCTATTTGGTTATGAGGGAGGGGGGAGCAGTGAGAAAAATCAGCTATATTATTGCCAGGATTCGACCTACGGATCGTCTGACTGGAAGCCGGACGAGATAGTACCTACTACTTACTATACTACAACAGGACGCACGAGGAAAATGTGAATTCTCCTTATTCATTTCGCTCCAATTAAAGGGCGACTGGGGAGAAAACGAGACTCAGTCGAGGAAATCCAGGTGAGGACAAATTATTGTCCATCACATTTTAGTTTGAACATCCCTCTACAGACATTAGAATTTCTGGAACTAGGAAACATGAAAAATGAGCTATACCCTCCCCGGGATTCGAACCTGAGATCTTCCAACTGCTAGCTGGATGGGGTATCAGTTATATCAGGCTATAACTCACGGGAAAGTGTAATAATTCATTAACGAATTATTACAGATAACACAAATCGTAAAGGAACCAAAAAAAATCAAGAGCTGTGTTAAAATAATTCAAGTTGACCGAAAGGTTATTTTTGGAACAATTTTTTATTACACATTTACCGTTTGAAGAATATAGTTGCGTAAGTACTATAATATACAGGGTGTTTATAAAGTCCGGGACCCATTTTGATGTTTAATAACTCATAAAATAATGAAGATATAAACAAACTTATGGCATTTATTGATGGAATAACATATATTTTCCTTTTCAGGTTTGAATATCTTTACTTTTGTAAATGTCGTCTGCGCGTGTGATTAATTTCAGATAATTTCATTTTCCAGTCTAAATATCTGTACTTTTATAAATATCGTCTGCTTATTAATTGCATTTTTCTCTGCTTTGTTTTTGGCCACTATTGCAATGTTATGTTTACTTTTGATGTGTTTGTTCTAGTGCTTTTGTATGTGATGTTTTATTCGGGTGGATATTAAGGAGAATGCATACACCACAAGAGCACAGATTTTATGGTGGTTCATAAAAGGAAAGGAAGTCAAGTCAAAAACATAAGAAAGTTGTTCAAAGGGGACACACGTGGAAGTTCATTGACAAGGGTCGTGAAACGTTTTCAGTCTATCTAACCATTTATGTTATTAATTTTAATCTATCTTTATCATTTTATGAGTTATTAAACATCAAAATGGGTCCGGGACTTTATAAACACCCTGTATTATGTATGTTGTCATAGAAAATCGACAATCAATCGGCGATAATCAATCATCATCTCTTTTTCTAACGGGAACCTAATTTGTGGATATTGCGTACTTGATGATTGCGTATTTGGTTGCAAATGTTGATCAACACATTACCTTCTTAAATCTGTGGATGTTGATCAACACATTACCTTCTTAAATTTTTTGCCTTCTTAAATCTGTGGTCATTGAACGCAGTGAAAATAAACAGAGGAAAAACAGAAAGAAAAAAAAAATCCCTGCTACGTGATTCATGGCCATCAACCCTATTTCATGAATAAATCTGTCCGAATGGCGCAGGCGTGTTTGTCCTCAATGTCTCGGCCGGCGCGGTTAAACCATAATTAAGTTTTAGCCGGATTCTTGTTAAGCCATAACTGTGCAAGCAATTTTATACTGGGACACTGCTGGGCTTTGCCAATCAGACTTTTCGCCTGGGTCTGGGTCCACCGTCCAGTGTCATGCTAATCAGTTTAGCAAACCGAAACCTTTCTTGCACAACGATGCTTTATCGTGAAGATGCTCACTAATATGTATAATAGTCAGTGCAGGATTTACGTGTAAGCTACATAAGCTATAGTTTAGCCACCCCCCCCCAAAAAAAATTAAAATAAAATATAGTATAACAGACTTTTAAAGGGCCCCATATCTCGAACAGCTTAGGGCCTTATCAAGTCTAAATCCGGCTCTGATAATAGTGCTCGCATTTACATGCCATGGCATTCCATTAAAAGTTTCTGTGTCAGGAACAGTACTTGACTTGCATAAAAGCGCCGACACCTTTATGAAGTGCTTCCGATAAAAATCTTTTTTTGTTCGAATTCTTTTTAGTTTAACATCTAGTTATTGCTTAGGAATACCAGTCGAGCCTTGGGGCAGATGAACTTGAGACTCAGTACTACTGATATGAAGTGGAAGGTGTTCCACACTTAACAAGTGAGAGTTAATGGAAAGAAAAATTTGTCGAATAGCCCAAATACGTATTTTTGCAATACTGGTTTTCATTAACTGATTCGTTTGTTAAATTGAGTAACGTTGATTGTGATTCCTTTTATTCTTCTTTGCAATCAGATGTCTTAGTTATGTACTCTTGCTCCCAACAAGACTGTGAATTAGATCACCCAAGCAGTCCAGCGCTGGGGCATTGAATGATTGAATATACATAAGCCAGTTTCAATTGCATATTTCTTGGCTTCAGCGCTGACTAATGGAGTAATATATGGTCACAGAAGTATTCAAAAACATCGTGTAAATACACTGCTCGACATTGAAACTGCAACACCAAGAAAGAGTGGTCAGAAAGTGATGACATTTGGAAAAAAGACAGAGACAGCAAGCAGCAATAAGTGATCTTTATTTCAAAATGACTGTCAGAATATAGAGCGAGAACAGCTCAGTAGGATGTAGGACCACCGCGGACAGCGATGCACGAAGAAACACGTCTAGGCATAGAGTCAACAAGAAAGCGGATGATGTCCTGAGGTATGGCTCTCCATTCTCTTTCAACCATTTGCCACAGTTCGTCTTCTGAACGAGGCAGGGGCAGGGTCTGCAAACGGGTCCAATCCCATCCCACACATGTTCGATTGGTGACAGGTCAGGAGAGTACGGTGGCCAGGGAAGCATCTGTATACCTCGCAGAGCATGTTGGCAGATGTGAGCACTGTGTGGTCGGGCGTTATCCTGCTGAAAATTGCATTAGGCAGACCCTGAAGGTAGGGGATTGCCACCGGCAGTACATTATCCAAGTATCGTTGGGTCGTCATAGTGCCCTGAATACGAACTAGAAGTGACCTGGAATCGTAGGCAACAGCGTCCCAAACCATTATGCCACGTTGTCGCGAGGTGGGGCGTTCCACAGTTACTGCCGGATTAGAACTGTCTCCACGTCGACGTCACACACGTATGCGGCGACTGTCACTGGATAAACAGAAGCGCGAATCATCTGAGAACACGGCGTTTCGACATTCTGTCATCCACATCGTTCCTGTCCGGCATCATTCTAAACGTTGGCGTCTATGCTGTGGGGTCAATGGCAGTCTGCTTAACGGACGCCGTGAGTGCAGGCTACGTTCAACCAATCGACGGGAAATGGTTCTGGTCGACACGGGAACATCCAGGGTATCTTGCACATGCTGCAGAATCACGGTACAAGTGACTTGTGGGACCACCACAGCCTGTCGGCGGATGCGTCGATCTACGCGTGCTGACGTCATTCTGGCTGCACCTGCACCCATCCTTCTTGCCACATTTCCTTGTTCCACCATAGCCGATGCACCGTGCTCGCATCCATGTGGGTATCAGCTGCGATTTGACGTACGGACCAAACCCCCCTTTTCAGTCCGATCACTATACCCCTCGTAAAATCGTCTATCTGTTGGAAGTGCCTTCGTTGACGGCGGCCTGGCATTCTCTCCTATTACACGTATCCTCCGGGACAAAAACCAACTTTCTTTGATAATTCGTCTGGCAGAAATAACGACACGAATATTGCCCATTCTGCACGTTCTTTCCCTTATATCTTACTTCACGTGCGTCGGAGAGCTGCGCATTTCACATCATTCGCATAACTCAGTGACGTGCGTCTACTCGAAAATTTGCATAAATTTCTGACCACTCCTTCTTGGTGTTGCATTTTCAATGTCGAGCAGTGTATGACAAAAGAGGTAGGCCTCTTGAATTAAGAATTAGTCGCCCCGAAATTAAAGATACAAACCGTAAAATCTTATATTTAAAATGAGCTGTTCAAAATTACAAAACGAAATGTTATAGGAGAACACGATGATGATATATGATATTTCATTATAAATTAAAGGTACATGAAGACTTATTCAAAATATACTTGTAGTGCATTTATTTTATTGAATCGGTGTGTACAAGGCTTCCAGGTAAATATTTCCTTCAAGTGGCAAACCAGGATGCAAAAATCGTTTATAGAAAGAACACCATTATGAGATATTTTAAAAATATTAGTTGTCTTATTATAAAAGCTCAGTAATGAAATAATAACGAAACTTTCAAGAATTAAAATTATTGTCTTCGCATTGCCCAATTTTACTCCATTATCCATTAAATTTTTTTAGATCAATAGTTAGGTGCTGCCATCTGTTGCAAACAATGATAACTTAATTTCAGATTGTAATATCGTTAAATTACGTATTTATTTCCCCTTTAATTGGCAAAACTTCTAGAAATCGCATATAATATATAAAAGTAAAAGCTTCATAATGTTCTTTTTATATTTAAAAAAAAATTGAGAATGTATTTGCTAGCCAGCGTGAGAATATAGGCACACCATTCATTGCTATTTATTAATACAATAAACGTTAACTACGAAGAATTGATTTGTGTGATCATCTAAATCTGGGCTCCTTCCTACACCAGGTCTCTGTATACAGCTCCGATTTTTATTTTTAACTCTTTGTTTTAAATATATGATTTTATGTTCTGTATCTTGAATTCCTAGGGGAATACGGAATAAACTAATAGTCTGATCGTAATTGGTCAGAGTAAAATGGCTTTAAAACGGAAAACAATACTGCGGTTTTTTAGACAT